TTGATTTGATTTTTCCTGAATTATCCAACCAAAACTATTGATTCCTTTCTGTAATTTTTCTTCACATGGTTGTAGAACTGTTTGTGGAGGATGGTTTTCACTGTGTCCTTTAAGATTTACTCAATAAGTAAGTTCTAGTTGTAATATTTTAAGGTCCAAAGGCATTTCACCCATCTCGACTCATCAAACTTTTCTTCTTCTTTGGTCTTAGTGGTTGGTAAACAATGAATTGGCGCATAATCGCCATCTACTGGTATTGAGCGCAACTACACTCCCACCCCTCACTGCCTGCACCGGCCCATAAATGCGTTGGCCCACCGGGAAAAGTCCCGGTACTCCCAGTGGCCAGTCCGCCCCTGGTGGAGCAACACATGTATTGAATGATTGAAAACATAACTTAATGGTCTGATTGAAAAACATCAAGGTGTAAAACACTCAGAATAATGTTTGCTTAAGTTGAGCTCTGCTTTGACTAAATCTTAGCATGAATTCCTTATTTCTTCTCCATTAGCCAATACGACATCACTCTGACTGCTGTCTGCTACTAGTAACATATTGACTGCTTGTAATTACTCCATGTGACCTCRCATGAAAAAGGTATTCCTGTAATAAAATCTGTACATATAATTAATAAATAACTTGTAATTTCGTTGACATTAGTTAGACGCAGACATTGAGACTCATGTTCGAAGCATGTCGACTAGGAGAAGAATCCCCTCCAAGTCCACAGAGGATGTGAGTGGTCCTCACTGCCAGCTTCATCTCCTGGAACTGTTTTATGTCTCCTGACCGGTGTTTCTCTGCTCCAGGCTGCTGCCCCTTTGATGCGTTACCTGGAACAGGAGCTGCAGTACATGAATGAAAACTTAGTTCAGAGGAACTTCAACAGGTACTGAGCTGTGGAACTGAGCATCACATGTTTGTTTGTTTGTTTGTTGTTGTGTGTTTGTGAGGATCAGACCCCGCCTCTTTTTCTTCTCCTGCATCCAGTCTCCTGAAACCTTTATGGGACAACTCAGTGAAAATCCTCCACCAGCTGTCCACTCAGCACCCACAGACAGAGGGACTCATGGTGTTCTGTCAGAGACTGCTGTACACGCTGCAGGTTGGTGCACAGTCCACTGCTTCCTGTGTCATCTTTACAACTCATGAAAGACAGGAGTGTGTCGTGGACAAAAACACACAATCCTACAGTTTTACCAGTCAGTATAAACTGGGACAGGCTGGAGAAATGGTTTGGACTTATTCAAATATAATATGAGGTTTCCTCTTTATAAGGNTAATTACTCAAGTAAAGTACAGATAACCAAAAATTCTACTTAAGTACAGTAACAAAGTATTTGTACTTAGTTACTGTAAAACTCTGGGCCCAGGTGCTGACCTTCTGTTTGGTCACATTTTTCAGCTCGTTCAGTTTTTCTGATGTTTTCTGATCTGTTACATGACAGTGTTACATCAGAGCTGTAAATAAGGTGTTGACCAAGTCCAGTTCCCTGGTCTTCATCCTCCGGTCAGTCTGGGTCAGTCTGGGTCAGTCTGGATCAGTCTGGGTCAGTCTGGATCAGTCTGGGTCAGTCTGGATCAGTCTGGATCAGTCTGGGTCAGTCTGGATCAGTCTGGATCAGACTGGGTCAGTCTGGGTCAGTCTGGGTCAGTCTGGGTCAGTCTGGATCAGTCTGGGTCAGTCTGGATCAGTCTGGGTCAGTCTGGATCAGTCTGGATCAGACTGGGTCAGTCTGGGTCAGTCTGGGTCAGTCTGGGTCAGTCTGGATCAGTCTGGGTCAGTCTGGATCAGTCTGGGTCATTCTGGGTCAGTCTGGGTCAGTCTGGATCAGTTTGGGTCAGTCTGGATCAGTCTGAGTCACTCTGGGTCAGACTGGGTCAGTCTGGATCAGTCTGGGTCAGTCTGGATCAGTCTGGATCAGTCTGGGTCAGTCTGGATCAGTCTGGATCAGTCTGGGTCAGTCTGGGTCAGACCTGTAAGG